TTGAGAATGAATGTAGAAGTAGTAGTAGTAGTAGTAGTAGTAGTAGTAGTAGTAGTTAGTAAGTTAGTAGTAGTAGCAGTAGTTAGTAAGTTAGTTGTAGTAGTAGCAGCAGATCCTCTATACACGTAGCAGTCAGATAGTTAAGTACTGTGCTGATAATTGCACTGGAGCAGGCCAGGCTTAGTAGCAGGTTGAAAAGGCTGGTAACATTCATTTAACGTGAGAAATGCCAGTTGCTAGTAAAAAGGCTACGATTCTAGTTTTCAAATTAGGATCATCTCTGAATATATCACAGATTATGTGAGGTAAGGGAATTCGTTCGTTCTAGATAATATACCTATGAAACTGTACTGAACTGTGTCGAAGTCCTGTACTCCATGATCCGGTTTCCCCAGTATCTTTTAGACAACTTTCCATCTCCCTTCTTGGTTTTTTTAAGGGCACAATATTGTTCCAGATGTTGCTAACCACCTACGAAACCACATGACATCACAACCAAACAGACCACAGTCCAGACTCATTACTTTCTCGCTGTCTCAGTAGCCAATGAGGATTACAGGCACGCATTTGGTACATCCGCAGATCAAAGTGGCCGCGCGGTCTAAGGCGCGAATCACCTTCGGCCCCTCGAACACTGGAATCGTGGGTTCGAATTCCACTCAAGGCATGGATGTCTGTGTGCTTATATTTTGTTGATGTTGTTCTGTGTGTAGGTAGCGGCCTTGCGGATCCCCAATCAAAGGAGTCATACCGACTGTGTATAGATCAGGAAACTGAAAAATCGGCCAAGGTCCACAAGGTCTGTAGAGTCATAGATAGATTTTGTACATCCTATAACTAAACTGGAGACAGATTACTGTGTTGATATTAACTGTGTTCCTAGGATTCATACTGTGTCTTTACGGTATCACGACGTGCCTCTCCAATGCTTCTGGAAACTTAGATAATATTAGAAGCCATGAATTATGTATCAGGAATCCCAGTGCTGCACATAGTTCTAAAGCATGACCTCTCTCTCTCTCTCTCTCTCTCTGAGGCATGAACTTAGTTTGAAGCACCCCAAGATCGAGGTGATGAGGGACGTGTCTTGACAAGAAACAAATTAGCTAACAAAACATTAGAATATACAAATATTTAAATAAAACAGCCATTATGTAAACGCATTTTTCCATCTATGATGATAAATAAGTTTTTTCCCTTAAATCGGCGGTCTTCCTTCTTGTCTTATATTTCCTCTAACCGATCTCCATTTTTATCTAGTCCAATTTGACTTCATCTCACCTTCCTTTTAACGTGCTTACGTTATCGAGCCGATTTCTGAAACTACACGCTCCATACCTGATAATGGAAACAGCATATTCTGCCGAAACGTCCGTATCGGCCAACAAGATGCTGTGTCACAACCAAGAAAATCAGAATCCGAAAAGGGACCTTCATACAAGTATTTTCATTTCTTATCTATTATTAAATCATGAAATGACAAAGAATTACATGGAAAGAACAAGTAAACGGGGAAATACGTAATAAATCCATAAACCAGTGCGGGAGGCGATTTAATTTGCAGGGGCAGTCTTGACGTCGTGGCTTCTTGTTATGTTCGTACGCTGATAGTGTGCTACGTTGTCAGTTCCTTATAACCTTTACTTCCACATGTCTCCACCTTACAAGTTCATAATAATGTAGAGACCGCTTCACCTTTATGATTCTTTCTAGTTCTTTGTTACAGATTCCTTTTTTTAATTCTATTAAAACTGTTCTTTTTTATTTTTTTATTTTATTTTATTTATTTATTTATTTTTCCAGTTGATAATTCGTACTTCAGGTATTTGGTAAGAAATATTCAACGAACGAAAGCAGATGGAACATCTACTCACAGAATATTTCCATGGATCCCTGAGGAACAGGAAAACAAACAGCAAAATTAATTTCAGTTAAAATTACTATCCTATGAGGTGTAACAAAGATTGCATTAGCATATTCCTCCGAAACGTCGGTAACGATTGATTACAGTGCATGGCGTCATATTTCAGAAAAAAAAGTTCATCTTCACAGTCATACCTGTGAGAGTCCCACATCTCTAATGCACTTAACTTAGTAAGGAGGAGGCAAAATGGCGGCTTTCGTGAATGCTGTGATGAAGTTTCTGGACGTCTTTTAAGTTACTTTCTGAGCTCCACTCTTACTCAATTTCTCGTTAACCCGAACGTTGGAAATAACAACTTATTCTGTTACCCTCGTTCTGCATCCTGACGTTTAATTAATTCAAATTATACCGTTAATTTGGGCGTAAAAATTTTGAGAGTGACTTCGAATCATTACAGTAGTCTGTTCTCTCATGTTAACCATTGTCTCTATACAAAACACATATGACGTTTTGAATGCTGGCACTGCCTCCATGTCCAAGTTCTGTGACAGACAACCTGTTCTTTAGAGTCTCTTATGTAAATATATTATAACGCTGCGGCAACCGGCCCCGTGAGCCGGGAGAGCTCAGTCGGTATAGCGACTGGCTACGGACTAGACGACGGAGGGGTGAGGGTTCGAATCTCGGTAAAGTGAAGATTCTCTTCTCCACGTCATCCAGACTGGTCCTAGGGCCCACCCAGCCTCCTATCCAATGGGAACTGGGGGTTCTTTCTCCGAGAGCAAAGCGGACAAGGCGTGAAGCTGAAAATTCACCTCCAGCTAGTGCCGAGATCAAGAAAATGTGGATCTATACATCCATTCCACATACGCCTTCATGACGTAATGCTTAATTAGTAAAGCAGAGGGGCAACTTTTATTTTTTACTGGGAACTACAGTCCCAGTGGGCTAGGCTTACCTCCATGAACTTCTCCGGGGGCAACTTTACCTTACTTATTTATCTTAACGGTAGGTGGCCCCACTCTGCCCGTAGTGGGAGACCGAACTATCATTCAGAACGCTGCACATAAATTAGGACAAATAAAAAGAATATTCCCCCAAATGAAACTTGTCAAAGTAGGGTCCATTAAAACGACAACAAAAAATGCACATAATTGAGAAATAGGTATTGAACAAATCCGCAACATCCATCAAGGAAGAGAAAATATCTACGGTCAAAAGAAATCCTTCAGTAGTCACAGATGAATGTTCTCTAAGAACAATTTCTATGCAAATGATGATTTATGAAAATTCCAACAGAAAAAGTAGCTCTGTTAAGAAAACCAGTTATTAAAGAGTCACAAAATGAGGCTCATCCATCAATCAGTTGGAGTTGAAACGTTTTTCCAGTCATTTATCAAAGTTGTCGCTTACTTGCAAGTGATAGGATATCAATGTCAGGATAATGTTTCCCGTAACAACATGAATACAAAGCAGACCACTCAATTTTAAATAGAAATCCCTTCAAGACGGTTTTCATAGCTGTAACACCCATTAAAAAGAACTAGTGGCAACATGGTATAGAGAAATGGTGTCAATCAGCAACTTCTGCAAGCAGAAAAGCGAGTGTAGGCGGAACTGATACAGCGTGTCACTCACCGGCTCCTACGTAACTCGTGACGTAATCATATAGGTTATGTCTGCCACCCACACACATTTCGGTCGCAGAGGAATGTAGACATACCAACAGCTGAGTAAACAGACAGTTCTCTTAGAGGTGGAAGATCTGAAACAATGACAATTGTGTAAAGAGACAGTAACACGCTGAAGAAGATCAATTTTGTACAATGACACCTGAACAAACATAAAGTTAACATTAGCAGTGGTTAATTTAGAACAATGTCCGATGTATAAACGCTTCATAACTTGTGCTCTTTTCCAAGTATAATTAGAGTGATCAAGTCGAGGAGGATGAGGTGGACAGGTCATGTAGCACGAATGGGGGAGACGAGGAATGCGTATAGGGTATTGGTGGGAAAGCCAGAAGGAAGGATACCACAGGGAAGACCAAGGCGTAGGTGGGTGGACAATATTAGAATGGATCTTAGAGGGACAGGATGGGATGGTATGGATTGGATAGATCTGGCTCAGGATAGGGACCAGTGGAGGGCTCTTGTGAACACGGTGATGAATCTTCGGGTTCCATAAAATGCTGGGAAATTCTGCAGTAGCTGCAGAATTGGCGGCTCCTCAAGAAGGGCTCAGCTCCGTAAGTAAGTAAGTCAGATGTATAAACATATAGTTATATCGACAATGGAGAATTTACAACAATGACAGATGTATAAACATATAGTTATATTAACAATGGAGAATATTAAAATAACAGAACCTGTGTAAACAGATAATTACATTAACTGACAAGGGGCACACAGTAGCTTGCTTGAGGCACTATACTACAAGCCGGAAGGTGGTGGGTTCGTGTCCAGATGAGGTGGATTTTTCAATTGACCTAATCCTTACAGCCGCACTGTGGCCCTGGGTCGACTCAGCCTCTAAGAGAAATGAGTACAGCAATCTTCCTGGGGGGGGGTAAAGGGCGGCCGGCAAAAAAGGCCACCTATGAGCCGAATGTCTACAGAAAATGTGGGAGCATCGACGTCTCATACACCTATGGGTCCTCACGGCCTGTTACAGGGATAGTTTATCTAACTAACTTAATTGAGCTGAGCGCTTCTTGCGAAACAGTCAGCTGTGCAGCTACCCAAGAACTTCCCAACATTTTATGAACGCGAATGTTCATTACCGTGTTAACAAGAGCCCTACACTGGTCCCTATCCTGAGCCAGATCAATCCAATCCATCCCATCCCATCCTGTCTCTCTAAGATCCATTTTAATAATGTCCACCCACCTACGCCTTTGTCTTCCCAGTGGTCTCTTTCCATCTGGCTCCCCCACCAATATTCTATATGCATTTCTCTCCTTCCCATACGTGCTACATGCCTTGCCAATCATATCCTCCTTGACTTGATCATTCTAATTTTACTTGGCGAAAAGTATAATTTACATCAACAATGGGGAAAATTTAAAACGACGTCAGCTGTGCAAAAGCACAGACTCGTTATTGGATGACAGTGATTACTGAATTGGAATGGATGTGGAAGGAAGCGGTCGTGGCCTATTTCAGGCTATTCCGGAATCTGCCTGACGAGACTTAAGAAAACCAGAAAAAGCCCATTCAGGATATTCGGTGATTGGGATAAGATTCGAAAGGGTTACATCAAGAATAAAAGGTAGAAGCGTTACAGCTTGGACCAATTTACTCGGGTTATAAAACGTCTTGAAAGAAATATTTCTCCGTTTCTCTGTCCGTCCATATAAAATTTCATAATCCATTGTACATTTAAAGCCATTGGTTATATTCCATAACTGTATGACATTATATTACATTTCAGGATCCTGTTGCATTCATGAATCACGCACTCATTCACTTAAGTCTTTAATGCAAGTTAAAAATATTCTCTCCTTAACTCAAAATAATATTAAAATCACATCAATTGCTACATGTTTCGGTCTTCAGGTAACTGTTCACTTTTCGAAACTTCCACACTGCACTAGATCTCAAATCGATATATTTCCATACTATTAAAAGAAGTTATTGAAGGAAAGATAGAGGGTGTTATGCCCCAAAATTCGAGATAGTAGAAGAAGCCACGGCCCAAAAATGTTCGCGCCTAGCGAACAGTGTTGCACAGTTATTGCCGCAACTTGTAAACATCAGTAATGGCAAGTAGGTCAGGAATCTGCTTGCCCAGCAAGGCTGTGTCCTCACAGCGCCAGAAGTTTGCCT